TGTACAGCATGTTGATTATAGTGAATAGTACTGTATGGCATATTTGAAAGTTGCTAAGAAAGTAGATTTTAAAAGTTCTCATCACAAGAAAAAAATTTTAAACTATGTATGGTGATGGATGTTAACTAACTACATTTATTGTTGTGATTACTTTGCAATATATACAAATACTGAAATGTTATATACCTGAAATTAATGTTATATCTCAATTAAAAATAAAATTAAAAAATATGCCATTTTCAAATCTAACTTAATTTTTATGCCCTATCATCAACTACTCCCTGATCAACTCCTATACTCTCTAATCTTACTTCTTTCTGCCTCCACTCCAAGCAAGTTCTTCTAATTGCTGCACCTGAATGCTGACTACCATTTTCTTTTTCTTTGACCATGCTATTTCCTGTATTAGGAGATTCACCCATTTATTCTCCATAAGGATTCAATAAGTGTGCAAGGTGAAGTTTAAAAAAAAGCTACATGACTATTGTAAACTTCAAGGAGTTTACAATATAATATGTGTTTGGGCCAAAGCAAAAGCCCAAATAATACCCCCAGTGCTTTGACCTATAGTTAGGTAGGGCCCAGGTGTATAAACAGAGCCTACTACTGTTCATTAAAGGGAGTTGTCATACTGGAGGGATCAGATAGGCTTTCATTTGAGATGTCCTTAGACATTTTAACAGGGACTTTTCCTGTCATTTCCAGAAGGGCAGAGACCATATCTATTTTAATCAGTGCTGTATGTATCAGTGATGGCGAACCTTTTGAGCTCGGTGTGTCAGCATTTTGAAAAACCCTAACTTTGGTGCCGTGTCACATATAGAAATATTTTGATATTTGCAACCATAGTAAAACAAAGACTTATATTTTTGATATTTATTTTATATATTTAAATGCCATTTAACAAAGAAAAATCAACCAAAAAAATGAGTTCGCGTGTCACCTCTGACACAAGTGTCAGAGGTTTGCCATCACTGGTATATATAATACTCTGCATAGTACCTGCTATGTGTTAACGGTAGTGTTTGCTGGGGTTGTATGTTCACTCTAAAATTCTAGATGAAAATTGTAGCTTGAACAAAGACACGGAGAGTGGAAAAATGTGTAAGGAGTAAACACCATATTTTACTGGAGCATAGACATCTATTAAAAAGTCAGATATTCCAAAGAAGACTTACAAATGGCCAACAGGTACATGAAAAGTCAACATTACTAATCTTCAGAAAAAAGGTAAGAGGCAAATGTTGGCAAGGATGTGGACAAATGGGAAGCCTTGTGCACTGTTGATAGAATTCATGTGGCTACTATGGAAAACAGTATGGAGGGCCTCAAAAAATTCAAAATGGAACTACCATATGACCCAGCAATTCTACTTCTGGGTATATATCCAAAGGAAATTACATCAGGATCTTAAAGAGATATCTGCACCCCCTTGTTCGCTGCAGCATCATTTACAATAACCAAGACATGGAAACAACAGAAAATTAAACACACACACACACACACACACACACACACACACAGAGGAATATTATTCAGCCATAAAGTAAGAAGAAAGTCCTGCCATTTGTGATGACATGGATGAACCTGGAGGGCATTATGCTAAGTGAGATAAGTGAGACAGAGAAAGACAAGTACTGTATGATATCACATATGTGGAATCTAAAGAAGCCAAACTCAGAGAAACAGAGTAGAGTGGTGGTTGGCAGCACCTGGGGAGTGATGGGGGAAATGAGGAGATGTTGTCAAAGGTATAAACTTGTCTTGAATACATTTTGAGGATCTAATGTATAGCATGCAACCATAGTAAAACAAAGTTTTACTATGTTAAATATGGTTAACAACATATTATATATTTGAAAGTTGCTCAAAGGGTAAACTAATATGTTCTCACCACAAAAAAAGGGTAATTATATGACGGTATTAGCAAATGTTATGGTAGTAATCGTTTTGCAAATCAATGCATTACATTATACACCATAATCATAATGTTATATCTAGATAAAAAAATAAATAAAGTTCAAATGAGCAACTTGGGAGGCAAGAACCACAGAGAGCTTTTACTTAGGGTCTGGTGGTCTCTGAGGGGCGTTCAGGGAAGAGAAGCAGTAGGCAGAACAGCCATTTACAGAAAAGAAGACGAGATGTAAGAAAGGAGGCAGAAGGTAAGATGATGTCACTGGGGATGGGCATTGAGGCCAACTTGGCAAGATATAACCATGACTGGCTATGGGAGGGATGAGGGGTCCATGAATGAGAAGGCCGTGGGGTTCTATGTGGCCCTCATATTGCTTTAAGAATTGAAATAGTTGAGCCCAGCCTGTGTGGTTCAGTGCTTGAGCATTGACCTATGATCTAGGAGGTCGCTGATTCCATCCATTCCCAGTGAGGACACATGCCTATGTTGCAGGATCGATCCCCAGTAGGGGGCGTGCAGGAGGCAGCCAATCAGTGATTCTCATCATTGATGTTTCTATCTCTCCCTCTCCCTTCTTCTCTGAAACCAATAAAAATATATTAAGAAAAAATTGAAACAGTTGACAACATTGAAAGAAAGAAACCCTACATTTTTACATGAATACCTAGACTTCCGGCTTTTTCCTAAAAATTACAAGATTTCAGGACACTGACGCTACACTTCTGCCAGCAACAAGCTGCTGGAGCTGAGAGCTAGGCCCTCCGGTAGATGGAGATGTCCCTCCTCCTCCCCTAGCCCCACCCAGTCAGTTCACCCCTTCCTGTGGCTTGTTGGCACTTGGGGTCATTTAGGTTTTCAAGCTTGTCAATAAAACCCGAGTTTCAAGTGTGAGGGGCCAAAAGACTTGCGCCGCTCAGCAAATTTGGAAGCCAAGAAGAGGAGCTCTTTTTAAGAAGATGCTCCCCAGAGATTTAGAAATGCTGAGCCATCCACCTGAGGTCACCTCATGACCGAATTCACTGCTCTCCTATGTTCTTAGCTCGCTCAGCTTAAACAGAATTCAGCCTGTAGTTGCTATCTATCTAATAGGGAGAGAACAAAAGACTTTAGCTTCTAACTTTGAGATGAAACAAGGCAAAGCTGAAAAATGTAGGGGGCCGCTGTTACATAACTAAGGGGGAAACAGACATTTTGGCACAGGTACGTTTTTAAGGAACAGTGCCTGGCACTGATTAAGGTAAGATTCAGGAGTCAGATGCTTGGGTTTGAGTCCTACTCCTCCTTTGTGTCCTAGCTGTGAGATCTTTCGGTCAAAGTATTTACCTTGTTTTCTCCTGATTCATGTTTATAAATCAGGATTGCTTAGATCAGGGCCTACCAGAGGAAGAGCTTAATCAATGTTAGCTATTATTAGTAGCATCTTCAGAGAAAACAGCTTTCTGTAGCTAACTTTCACTAGTTTCTGACCAAAGGCTAGGCTGGGTACTACAGCAACATTCAGATTCTAGTGGGATTTTCTCGTCCCCACAATGTGTTTCTAGGTTTGGGAATCCTTGGTCCATGCCCAAAGCTGCCGCTTAATTTTATTTCTTGATTTGGGAACTGTTGGTTACTTCCTTCTTCCTAAGCATGGTCAACAGTTGTCCTAGCCATCAGATCTCACCCAAAGCTGAGAAGCACCCCGCCTCCAAAAGGGAGATGCGAATTTGCTTTTCAAAGCTCCCTCCATGGATTTTGCAACTGCTTCCCTCCATCACCTGCTCCCCAGGGCTCTCTATAGCTCTAATCGAGCGGAGACTGGAGTCTGGTTCTTTCAGTTTTGTGCCATAGTCACTAGGCATGCTATGCTATGCAGGACTATGCTAACTGCACCTGTGGTGAAGCTTAGCGTCCTCAGCTCTGAAACCTAATACAGAACTTCATGAAAATGTTGTATTAATAAACACATTTAATCCTGCTTCTGCCGCTGTGGCAAGTTACTGAACTTCTCTGTGCCTGTTTCCCCACCTTTGAAATGAAGAGAATTTTACCTACTGGCATATGCTGTCACAGAGATGAAATATACGCAATGTGTTTAGCAAAGTCAAGGTCAATAGCTTACTAAAGGTGACGTGGAGAAAGCAGTTCACCCCTGGTACAGCGGTTAAGGGTGTTTTGGTTGTAGAAAATTTATTAATGAAATAAATTACCATAACTGAGGTATTTTTCATGATCACTATGCAATTCTAAACTGCAGCAGTGATGCCATTCTCAGTGCTACTAGGGCGGACTGCTCCCACAACCTCCTCCCTTGGTATACCTCTGGTGCCAGTAATATAGCACTCACATCAGATGAGTTATAAACAAAAGATAAGAAAAAGAAGGGAAGACAATGCAGGAAGTACAGTAAGTGCAATGATGTAATATATATATACACAAAAATATTTTTTTGCAAATATTCATCTGAGTTGACAATTTTCATCCCATAGATCAGTGGTTCTCAACCTTCTGGCCCTTTAAATACAGTTCCTCATGTTGTGACCCAACCATAAAATTATTTTCGTTGCTACTTCATAACTACAATGTTGCTACTGTTACGGATCATAATGTAAATATCTGATATGTAGGATGGTCTTAGGTGACCCCTGTGAAAGGGTTGTTCGACCGCCAAAGGGGTCGAGACCCACAGGTTGAGAACCGCTGCCATAGATGCTTTTTTTTTTTTTTTAAATCCTTATCTTGAGGATATTTTCCCATCAATTTTTAGAGAGAATGGAAGAGAGGGAAAGACAGAGAGAAATATCGATATGAGAGAGACACATCGACTGGTTGCCTCCTGCACACACCCTGATCAGGATCAGGGTCTACGCCGGGTAGCAGGGAGCCTGCAACTGAGGTACGTGCCCTTGACTGGAATCGAACCCAGGACCCTTGGTCCACAGGCCGACGCTCTATCCACTGAGGCAAACCAACTAGGGCCCCTGAATAATTGAAAAGTTGACTTAAATGTATCCCCAAGCAACAAAGTTCATTTCCTTTTAATGGCGTCATTGACGAGCAAGCCCTTTGGTTACCATAATCCAGTTTGCGGAAGTGGTCTTACCGCTACTGATGAACAGGCCTACTAGCTGCTCCTTAGAGAAGTCAGCATCCACTTCAGCTCTCACTACCTCACAAGAGAGTCCTGCAGCCATCTGTCTGTGCTGTGGCAAGGGAACAGAGTGGTTAGTTCTACACACATTCAAGTTTTCAAAAAAAGGGAGAGGGTCTGCAAGTCATCGATACCTTCATGCAGAGGGCAAGCTGATGTACTATGTAATCTTGCAAGCTTCCTTCTGGGCCATGGAAAATGACAGTATGATATTGCTCGACCTATTAATAAACCAAGAAGAGGACTCAGATGGAAATGCTAAGTTCAGAGGAAAAATAAAAGTGGTCTGATTGTCCTCAGCCTTTCAAAAGATTAAAAATCATATTTTAATTAATTAGCTTTATTCGTTCAGCACATCATGCTTTTCACTTTAATGTGAAACACTGGCAAATACTGGATTTATATACTTATGAAGTATTTTACATAGTGTTTATATACTTGAAGCAAGAGATGGCATTTTATGAAAAAGAAAACTCCTTGTTCTATTCTCTATGTTCAGCTCAACATATTGGCTGGGAACAGGGTTCCCAGCATATTTTGTCCCTTGCAGATGTTCTAGAATTTTTAGATAATCTGTGAGTTTTCCCAATGCTTATTTTACTTTTCAGTGATTAAAATAGCAATGAATCCCATTAAGAGGATTTTAGAAAATATAAAAAATCACGAAGGAGAAGAACAGAAACCACTAAAGTAACCACTGCAAATATCTGTTTCCTTCTCGCTTTTTTCTTTGCACAGTTGATGTGTGTATATGTATGTTTTTTAAGAATCCATGAGCAGCCTGGCTGGTGTGGCTAAGTGGTTGGGCATCGACCTATGAACCAGGAGGTCACAGTTCAATTCCAGGTCAGGGCACATGCCTGGGTTGTGGGTTTGATCCCCAGTGTGGGGCGTGCAGGAGGCAGCTGATCAATAATTCTCTCTCATCATTGATGTTTCTATCTCTCTCTCCCTCTCCCTTCATCTCTGAAATCCATAAACATGTAATTAAAAAAGAATCCATGATTGTAATCTTTTTTATAACCATTGTATATCAGAGAGTATCTTTGACTTTTTATGTAAATGATATCTTGATGAGTATAAATACACTCTTTGATCAACTACCTATATTATTCCAGTTTGGAATTCTTCGGTGTTCCAAAGAAATTTAGGGCGAGGCTGATCACTTTTACTTTGTAAAGGAAAATATCCTACCTGGATGCCTACAGGATTAAAAAAAAATCTTTATCCTTAAGTATAAGGATACTTACTTCATCTGAGAACATATAGAGACATAGCATATACTGGATGAAAAGCCGATGACCTTCTACATAGGGCAAAGGCAGGAGTAAGAGGAGGGCAGGTCATTCTCCCACCTTCATCATCCCAGGGATGAGCTCCCACTCCCAGCCCAGATGCCTGGGAGAAGCTTTCTCCTTGGAAAGGTCTTAGAGTAAAGGACCTGGGCAGCTGAAGGGCCAACCTAACTGATACTGATGGAGGAGCTCATGTATGAAGACTGAGCCACCCACACTGAGAGAAATGTTAACTATCAAAGGCTCTATTTACTCTTTATAATTTGGAATGGAACAATGTAAGGATACACATGCACATGTATCTTTGTGTTGCTGTTGTTCTATTGTGTCCTGATGAAGTTGTCCCTTTGAGATCACAGAAGGCCGCATCTTTCGAGGGTGTCTGGGATGGACTTCTGTGAAGACAGTGACTGTGCCCCTGGCTCAGGGAAAGGCAGAGATTCTGGGATAAGAAGGGAAGGCTTGAGGAAAAGGCCTTAGCATGGAAGGAAGAGGGAACTCCTTCCTACCCAGGGCCTTCAAGACTTGAGCTTTGGCCTTTAAGGAGACCATGACATGCTTAGAGAACTCCTGGAAAATAGAGAAAAATGACGCCTGACTACCAGGTGTCAGACCATGAGCTAAACAGAGAAGTGGTCCGTTAAGGGGCTCCTTTTATTGGACTTGGGACTGGGTTTTAGGCTCTGAAAAACAACATATCTGGCAGCCACCAATGTTTTTTTTCTAGGTTCAAATACTATTCCACTATTGCTAAACCTTCAATTTTCTAACTAGTATCAATCTTGCTTTATTTTTTTAATATTAGTAGGATGATAATGGTGTAGTAGGCAGACAGGCATTAGCACCTTTGGCCAGATACCCAAAGGTGTCTAGCAATGGACAATTGTAGGGTGGAACCTCACCCCCAGGGTGACCTTTCCCCCCCGCTAGCATAAAGCTCCCCATGTGGTATAGACCCCTGAACTTTCATATCACTGGTCTTGCAGTGTGGACCTCCCCTAACCTGTGGTAGACCTGGCAGGTACCCATCAGTAGAGACCACAACCCTGAAAGGACAGGGACACACCCAGGAAGCTGATGAATGTTCTGTTGAGATCCTCCCTTGGGGTCTCCAGATAAATACCCTCAAGACAAGGGACCCAGCACTTGCTCTTGGTCTCCCTTGAACACCCCTTGCCTTTGCCTAACCCCTTCTTTCCCCAAGGTGCTCCCTCACCCTTTGCCTCCCCAACCCCCTCTATCCCTGGTATTTGTCTTGGTTCTGGATTTTCATAGCGCCAGAACTCAAGCGGGAAGCTCCTGTGTTAAGCGTCTGACCCTGGTAGTCAGTGCACATTGCCGGTAACAGTTTCACCAGCATTAGAAGGGTATTAAAAGTGTTTTCCTACCTAATTTCCAGTTGGCTGCTAATAGGTAGGCCTAACAGTCTCTTGCCCCTATAAAGGCAGTAAAACGTTTTTCTAGATTCTTGCCAAAGGGAGATTTCAGTTCTATTTTTCCGTTTTTGTGAAGTTTTGTCACTTTTCAAAAATACTTTAGTGGGAAATAGCATATTAGGTACCACTAGCCAGGTCCAATTTTAAACCACAAACCCTGAGCTCTCCAAGTTAACCTCACACTGCCATGACTTATTGGGTGGAAATTCTCTCACACAGACTGTTTTGCACCAGTGAAACTCAATACAGAATTTCAAGATCTACGGAATATGCTACTCGAGATCTTCAAGTAGTACTGCTCTTTAATCTTGTCTTATTTCTGAAAACAACAGTGCTCTCTGTTCATTACAGCTATCCTGTCATACCGCCTGTACTTTCTTAAGATTGATTTTTGAGATCATATAACAGCAGGAGACCCAGCTTCACAGATAAACTGCCTTCAATATCAATACCTCATCTGTTATCAGACTGTGGGGGTTCGACAAATATAAGCAGGAAACATTCCATTTAAAATTTTGGCCATTCACTAGCAGTAAGCATTTTGTGTTCGCATACACTAATATCCTTTCTGGAAAAAGGTAAACTATAAATAAGTGAACTAAGTAAGTAAATAAAGGGAAAAACAAATGTACAAACTTCCAGGTCATTCATACTTTCTAATAAATGCATTCCATTAGTAGGTTTCCCCTCATTTCAGGTATTATCAGTTTTTTTGTTAATGTTATTTTGTCTATCTTGTCAAATGATATAATTGTGTTGGTTACCATATAAGATCTGAACCAAAAAAATAATAATAATAATTGCTGGGAGACTATCGCTCTACTGAGACTGGTGAAAACAAATCGGTTTGGCTCAGTGGATAGAGTGTCGGCTTGCGGACTGAAAGGTCCCAGGTTCGATTCCGGTCAAGGGCACGTACCTGGGTTGCGGGCACATCCCCAGTAGGAGATGTGCAGGAGGCAGCTGATAGATGTTCCTCTCTCATCGATGTTTCTAACTCTCTATCTCTCTCCCTTCCTCTCTGTAAAAAATCAATAAAATATATTTAAAAAAAGAGAAAACATGCAAAGCTATGCGAAGAAAACATATTTAGAAAACATATTTACCTATTCTAGCATTATCATTTATATTTCTCTAAATAGCAAGGTCTGAGGTATAATAAAAATGCTACGTGCTTCCAGCAGAGGGCACTAAAGATAGACAGTAGGTAGATGGAAAGCAGACAGATTTTGGGGGATGGGAGTTAAATATTTTAATCGTGTTGAAATGAGGTATGTTCTTTGAAAAATAAAATCAAAGTTAACTTCTAAAAGGTGAATTGTAGTTGTCAGAATTATCCCTTATCCCTAAATGCATGCTTAGAGTGTGACCTTTCGGCTTATTCCTAAAGGGACAGGGCCTCATTATCACAATTGGTACCAATCCCTTTTATTCTTGTCTTCACAGCCTATTCAGAAAGCTCTTATCACATGTCAATTAGTGCTTTGTGAGGCAAATGAATTCTGGATTAAATGGGAACAATAACCTCAACAAAGGCCCATCCATACTTTTATTTTTTCCCTCCACAGTGTTTTTCTACAAAAAGGAGTTTACCAGAAGAGCTATTGTTTCCACTATGGTCAATGTGGCACCTGTAATGTGGCTTCAGACTAGTGGCATAATTTTAGAGCAATAAACTTAACCTTTTATTTGAAGTTTTATTGGCCAGAGTCTGAGGAAAAGCTTCTACTGTCCTGAGACCACTTTAGGCCAGATTGCGGTGAGATGTTGAATTAAAAAAAGAATGAAAAATAAAAGGTCTTCCCCAAGCCAATAAAATTGGGATGGCTATAGCTTAAGGTATAATGCTTTATAGCTAGTGTTACTGATACCATTGTAATAATCTGCCTATTTTTTAGCAGGAAAGGAGTAAAGGAAAGACTAGATGATATAGGCATGCCATTTAAACAGCTTTGCTAATTTCACACTCCCCCCTGATCAATGGGGGAAGGGACTGGACATGGCCACTGCAAGGGTGCCAAACCTTAATATTTAAACGCCCGGACAAAGGAGCATATGCTGTTGGCTCTTGGTTTTTACCCTCTAGTTCTCTTGGAACTCCTGCCGCACGGGGCACGCTCCTCTGCATTCGCCCATGTGGCTCATGGCCACATGGGACCCACACAATGGACTGATGTACTTAATTGGCCTGAATGCTGACCTAGACCCAGCTGCAACATGGAACGAAAGCTTTGGACACTGGCCCTCCTTTTGGCTTTACTGGAATCCCAGCTGCCCCTCTTTCAGGACTGGGTTAAAGGACATGGGACTTTTTAACCAGAGGAATGTAACTCCATGTAAGTAAAGCCTTTCACCACATCTCATTCTCCCGTGGGGGCTTCTGAAAATGCTTATGTCAGTGATACCCCAAGAACCTCACACCTAGTCATGTCTGGGAAATCTGGCCCACAAATTCCTCCAGCAACATTACCATTGTTATTAGCTAGTTAT